CCACACGATTCTAGTCAGTAAAATGTAAGGACAGCTAGGCATTCTGATGACAACACGGGTATTTTAAAGAGAGCTACAGTAAATGTAACGTTTCGAACTCGGCGGTCCATGTGGAAAATGAAGTAGAGTTCACCTGTTTGTATGACCTCGGCATTTGACGAACGTCAACTTAGGGGCGTCGTAGAGGTTCGAACCCGGGATCCGAACTCGAGACATTTGTGTTCGCAGTCGTACCAATTCCGACCATGTTGTCTCATATATACATTATTAAGTCACAAATCAGCTGCGAATGTTGAACGTCTAATTTAAAAAGGTGTCTTTAAAAAAAAATAACAGAATAAGTTAAAAGGTTTGTCTAATCTAATCACAGTACAGCCGATTTTACTGTTCTAAAAATTGTTCAATTCTACAATCAAATAATGTAAGGAAATTTTATTTCGTAGTTTGTTCTTGGACATTTAGAACATCTTAGTGTTTTTTTTTTGTTTTTTTTTTTTTTTAAAAACCGGTTTCACATATTTCAAATATCATAATTATTAATGTTTTACCATATGCGTTGCACAAATACGACAGGTTTAAATAATAATTTCTTTCTTTCTGATGCTCTTTGGTTTTTTTTTTCTTTTATTTTCTTTTATTAGCTGCTGCAAGTTTCTTTTATTTTCAAGGGCACCTGCACTGTAGGTCAAAGGTTGAAAGGTCACGTCTTTACTCTCAACATCTTACAAATAACTCAAATAACTAGGCTTATGTACTGGGGGAAAAGCATTACATCAAAACACTTGAAAGCTCTTATAATCAATTATATATTCTGGCTTTATGAGTTTTAATTGATTTGTTAAGCCATCTATGTATACCGAGTTGTGAATAATAGAACGGTCTCCGCGTTTATAGCCTCCTTAACAGAACCCACCATAGCACTTCTAGTACATTCTAGTAAATTACCGTCTACATTATCCATTCCTACACCCCCACCATAAAATCACTTGTAAATTACCGTCTATATTATCCATACCTACCCCCCACCATAAAATCACTTGTAGGCCTATATACCGTCTATATTATCGATATATCTTCATAAAATCACGTGTACATTACCGTCTATTTTATCGATACATAATCCTCTTCATAAAATCACTTGTAAATTACCGTCTATATTATCGATACATAATCCTCTTCATAAAATCACTTGTACATTACCGGCTATATTATTCATACCTACACCCCCCCCCCCCCTTACCATAAAATCACTTGTACATTACCGTCTATATTATTAATACCTAACCCCCACCACAAAATCACTTGTACATTACCGTCTATATTATCCATACCTAACCCCCACAATAAAATCAATCGTACATTACCGTCTATATTATCCATACCTTACCCCCCCCCCCAATCATAAAAATCACTCGTACAAGATCGTCTATAGGTAGTCAAAGTTCACTGACATCTTTACCATCTCCGCCCCCGTGGTCAAATCACGTGATACCCGTCAAACTCCCTAGAGAGGCGACGAGTACCCGCGTTAAGAAAACGTTGGACGAAACGACACTTTAACGAAATGTAGAATGCTGGACTACGTATTGACACGTCGGTAAAGCGAGCCGGGCTTATCAATGCTGATGGCGAATACACAGTGGTAGTTATTCCCTAAGGGAGGTAATGAAGGTTGAACAGATCAGAGTTGTGGTACTTGAATTTTTGTTTTAAACGAAAAATTTACTTAAAAAAAGTAATTTTTAAAAAAATCCTTGCTCGTATATTTTGCTCCAACCAGGAAGTAAATAAAAATTATCTTCAGTATTTCAGGAATGATTTGTGTAACCATTGCTTTAGTCAAGTGGAGAATTGCAAAGTACTTAAGCGGCTTTTTAAAAGCTGGAAAGTAATATTAGCGATGAATGCGTTGATATTGTCAAGCTTTGATATTCTGTATAGAACTAAGGGCGTCATAACCAACATAGAGAAATATTCTTGGAATTTACTATGCTGAAAAGGCAAAGTTTGAAAAATTGGAAATTAGGATATGAACCTCTATCTGTGTAACATGAAGTACAAAGTTCTTTTGAAGGACACTGAGACAGTGAGCAGAACAACTTACAGTGGTTCTCATTTTATAAGTGTAAGGGGGCTTTTTGTTGTTGGCTACTGTGTATATTCATTCATTCCTATTTAACTTCATTTGAAGGTCCCTTCATTCGTATGTCACTTCATTCACAGGTCCGTTCATTCATAGGTCCCTTCATTCCTAGGTACCTTGACCAATAGGTCCCTACATTCGAATATCTGTTCATTCATAGTTCCCTTTATTCACAGATCCTTTAATTAGTGTTTCCCTTTATTTATGTCCTTTATGTGTATGTTCATTTTTCGGTTTTTATCTAATTTACATGCATTTTTACATGACCTTTTCATCTAATTTATAACTTCATGTTTTTGTTCTTTTTTTTCTCTAATTAACATCTTCACTAACTAGACCCCTTTTGGTTGTCATTTAGAGTTCCAACAATTATCAAATTGAAAAACAAATCAACACTTTTGACTAAATACATACACTGCTGGTAAAACTGAAAATTGGGGAGAAAAAACAACAACAGCGGTAATCACATTATGTGTTTAAAAAAAAAGAAAAATCTGAAAATAACATTTTTTAAAAATGTTTCTTTAAAAAAATCTGGTCACACCCGGAGACTGCTATTATTGCCCAGGCGCTGAATGGGGCAGATAGTACATCATTTTTCGCACGGTTACTCCCCGAGAGTGTCGACCAAGACAATTTTATAACGATATAATCTGTATCGTCGAGTCGGGCTAATCTTTTTATCGGGCGTCCTCTTCGAGCCTCTTGGCCCGGGGGTGGGGGTGTGGGGGGGGGGGGGGGGACACATGCGGATAAAAGCGCCGCGCAGTGCTGGTCTGAGGGTGGGGATTGGACGTCGATGAGGGCAGGAATTACGGACTGCTGAGTCACACAGGGGGGAAATTAAATACAATTTCAAATACTTCCTCCCTCGGTGACAGTACCTCAACATCGGGCATACACGCTTTAAAAGTGTGCTATTTAGGTCGGCGGTACCCCCGGCACAGACACGCTCTCAATAGAGCCAGGCACTTGTCATTCTCGTGGAGAAAATCTTCATTTTCTGTGCGGCACTCCAATAAAATGTAAATCTCTTTGTGGTTGCTGTCTTTTAAAAAAAAAAAAAGTCTCTTCTCGTTTTACCGACATCAACAAGAAAATCTGGCCATCCATTCGTGTGGCCTTTTGTACGGGGCGATTTCTTTTCGAGTTGCCACTTAGTTGTGTGTGTGCGGGAGAGTGGCGATACAGAAAGTAAATAGATATTTTAAGCTGTTTGCTTCAATGGGCATTTAGTGGAGGAACTAGGTCATGTTAGATTACATTTTATTTATTTAGAAGTAAAATAAGCTTTTGTATGGGGACATCATCACATAATTAAAATAGGGACATAAAACTGCGGGATCATACACACTTACAAACACACACACACACACACATATACATATATATATATATATATATATATATATATATATATATATATATATATATATATATATATATATATATACAGTGCTATCTCGAGATGGGGCTTTATTAAATACCATACAATTGTTGGTAAGCCAAATTGCTATTCTATCAAAGCTATTTTTTCATTTAAATTAATAGAAATGCCATTAATCTGTGCTAGTCCCCAAAGAAAATTGAATTTTTACACGACAATAATACTGTATAACAGCACACTAATATTATATTGTAAAGAAATAAACTGCTTTAAAAAAATGTATTTACCTTTGAACCAGCTGGCTTGAAATTACCCAAGATGCTGGCGGTGGTGTATAGGGTGTATGGAGCTTCACCCTTACACTTTGGTAAGTGTAATTATATAGTCCATGGTAGTTTTTTCCCCCCACGATCTGTGTAACCCGCTAATCCACTTCCTCGTATCTCAAACTTTGCTCGTAATTCAAAGCAAATGATCGCACGCTCGACGGCTCATACCCAAAAAATATCGTATGCTGGGGCGCTTTTATTCAGAGTACGCCTCTTGTGTGTCCGCAAAATATTACTAGCTGTGACATTATTTCTTCTCGCAATACCATGAATGATATTTGGGTGTAGGAATTAGGTAGACAACCACTACTGAATTACAGCAGTAGTGTCATCTTAATGCTATTGACTGGCACCTAGCCCTGTTGCAAGTAAGATGCATATTTTGTAATTTTAATGGATCCGCCACGCCCAAATCTAACGTTTATGTGCCTTAAGCTGCTGCTACCTAAGGGGAATTATATACATCATTAGATAATTTAAAAAAAAACACATCTCTACTCTCTAAGAGAAAGAGAGAAATATAATTGTGTTAAATTTATTTACATTTCGACTTTTTAATAATACCCAACTACTACACTTTCTCGCTAATAAGTACACGTAAATAAAAAGTTTTTATGGTGTGTGAAATTATGTATAAAATAAATTTTTTTATGGCTAGTAGTAGTTTTTATTTTCAAGCAGCTATTTATCTTTTAAAAAGTTAAAACTGAGTATAAAATTATTCTAATTTAAACAAAAAAATTATTATTATTCTAAATCGCAATTGTTCTAAACAAGATATACATACACATAAAAGGGATATAATCACTGTTTATGACTAAATTACTTAAAGCTTAGTATTGTTTCCCTTTAACATTAATATGTGATAACAGCTATTTTCTAATGGAATTGATCACAAATGAAATGTAATATTAAAGAATATTGAAATACTTTCAAAAATAATTTTAGCCATCTTTAATTTCATCAGTGCAATTCTCGTAAAAATTATTTTTATTTTCATCCACATTAAAAGATGTTTAATTGGAGTAATTTGAAGGTAGGGGGAAGAACTCTTGGTATAGACAGCTTTCAAGGAATGAGCTGACCAAATCCATGACATTCTAAGATTTATTAGACAGACAAAAACAAAAGGAAACAGTAATAACATAAGCAACTTTATTAATTATATTGCTAAAAATTAAATTGTTACAGTAAACAATTACGCTCATTTAACTAAATTCCCCAATGAAATTAAATTTTCTAAATTTAAGTGATGCATAAAAGCTAATAATATCATCTAAGTGAAATTGATTTGAATATTAACCAACTTTCACGGGAACCACTGCAAGAATCACTTCATTTATTCAATCGTAATTTAGCCAGCATGTCTTTATGACTAGTTATATTCCAACCTTTAATAGATTATTTTAATAATTGTTTGCATTGTCCATTATGTTATTTATACACGATGTCTGTAAAAGATGCGCTGATATAATTTATTCCTTTACTTTATTTACTAGCTGGAAAGAAAATGGTTTTAATTATTTTGTTTACTAATAAATCTACATAGTTTTATTTCCACAATAACTAACAGTACATTTTGAGATAAATACTAGATCTAGCAAGCAAAAGAAAGACGGTCTAAAATATTAATATGTACATCTATTTATTTTGAAATCAACAAAGTAGGTTTCTTACATTTAAAAAAAAATAATATCAGCAACAAGTGTTTATTTTTATTTTTATGAATAATGTCTTTACTATATATCAATTAGACTAATTGTTAATTTCATTTTAATATCGTATTCCTAAACGAAAGACTAGAATTTAAATCAAATACTATTAGTGAAAGAAAGAAAATCCCAGAATCTTGTTAAGAAAAAATTATTTAAACTGAAATAGATAATGTGTTTTTAAGCATCTAAATTTAGGTGTTGTGATTTAATTTCCATTCGACATATTTCATACGCAAGTCTAATTAGGATGTTGGAATGTATTATCCAGTACTGGAGATATTAAGGTTAATTTTTAAATTAATTTAATTACGAATCTTTAATATATCTTTGCTGTCTAGCAATATTGATTAAAAATTTCAATCAAACAAATAAGATTTTAAAAAGCTTCAAACACAAAATTAATCAATTTTTTTTTCTATTTCGATATCTGTTTGCCATTTCAATAAATAACATGAATATGGGGCATATTTTTGTAAAAAACTAAACAACCTCAAGATTCATGCTCAGCACAAAATAAAATAAAAATGCATGACCTTGTGGTAATTAATCAAATCTAGTTCGGTGACTATGATCAATGTAAAAAAAAATATTTAAATCTAATTATGCTAATGTTACTTTACAGCAAATAAATGTACCCATTGGATTACGAAAACGTAATCTTGATATTCAATATTTGAACAATGTCTACGAATAAATGTAACTAATACTGATAGTTTCATCGTTGGTGTCGTCTGCGTCTTGAGGTCATAGTGTTCTCTCCCTTGGAGCACGTCTCACAGCACATCGTTTGGAAGTAGGTGCGTTTACAGTAGCCGAACTTTAATACAAGGGGACAGTAGGCCACACGAAACTTGTCCACACAGACTGAAAACAGAATTACAGTAGACAAACTTTAATACAAGAGGGGGGGGGGGGCAGTAGGCAGAGTTTCTTGCAGGCATCCCTTCGAAACTTTTAAGTGCCCCCCCCCCCCCCCCGGAGAAAAAAGTCTGGAAGAAACACTGGCAGTAGGCCACACGAAACTTGTCAACACAGAAAAAACAGAACAGTTTTTTTTATAGGGGATCTACACATTATTAACATAGGGAGTAGTCAATATAAAAAAAAGACTTACATTTACATTAAGAAATGCTAATTAAAAAATGTTGGAATGACTTAAGTTCAAAATTAGAAAAAAGGGGAAAGAAAAATGATCCTTTCTAAAGTATGTAATTCCTTGTCTAGTGAATGTGATTATTCAACTATCTAATGAATTCAATTAATCACCTGTCTAATGAATGCAATTACTCACCTGTCCAATAAATTTAATTACTTGCCTGTCTAATGAACGTAATTACTTACCTGTCTAATGAATGTAATTACTCACCTATCTAATGAACGTAATCACCCACCTGTCTAAGGCATCTAATTACCCACCTGTCTAATGAACGTAATTACCCACCTGTCTAATAAACCTAGTTACTCACCTGTCTAATGAACGTAATTACTCACCTATCTAAGGCATCTACTAACTCACCCACTGCCTGAGCTGTTAGCGACTCAGCTTTTTTGTCGCACGAGCTGTTGCACTTCTGACTGGCCTTGGGTTCTATCTTGGGGTCACAGGTCTCAGAGGTGAAGGATTGGCACTGGACTAGCCTCACCTGGGTGCCCTCACCGCAGGTTACTGAACACTGGATCAATGACAATAAATAACATATTTCCAATTGCTGTTTTTTTGTGTGTTTTCTCACAATGTAACTTTTAAAAAAACTAAGGTTTTGTAGTTTTGAATATGTACTGATATTTTATTTTCTAAAACAAGAAGGAAAATAAATCTCCTAATATTGTTTTCCCTGGATAAAACACAATGTAACTTTATAAAAAACTAAGGTTTTGTAGTTTTGAATATGTACTGATATTTTATTTTCTAAAAAAAATTGAAAATAAATCCACTAATTTATTTCCTCTGGATAATACACAATTAAAATTTTAAAAAAATCTTACCTGACTCCATTCCCCTTTCCTCCACTGTGGAGGGGGACAATCCCTATTGGAGCATGCCATTTTTTGTGGGGGTTTGTCCTCAATCTTACACCTCCTGTCCTCTAAGTACGTGGAGGCATCGCTGGGCATACAGAACACACGGCGTGTCTTCTCCCCGGGCCCACAGGAGGGCACACACTGAGTACACAGAGATAGAGAACACATGTGTACATAACAACACAGTGATCATGTATAAGGACATAGAGGTGAGTATACAGTGATCAGAGAACACATGTGTACATAACAACACAGTGATCATGTACAATGACACAGGTGAGCACACAGAGATAGGGAACACATGTGCACATAACATCACAGTGATCGGCATACACAGGTGTATAAAACAACACAGTGATCAGGGTACACAGATGTATATAACAACACAGTAATCATGTACAAGGATACTAAGGTGAGTACACAGAGATCAGCATACACATGTGTACATAACAACACAGTAATCATGTGCAAGGACACACAGGTAAGTACACAGAGACCAGAGAACTCATTTATAACATAACACGTAGCTCATCATGTACAAGGACACCAACTGAGATGAATATAGGAAACAGATCAAATAGCTGATTTATTGCATAAAAACAAAGTGATCACATACAAGGACACAGATTGAGATGCTAACAGGAAACAGAAATCAAATGGCACATTTATTTCATAACAACGTAGAGATCATCAAATATTATTTAAGGGCAAGGGGCAGTGAGCAGTTTATTGGGGTAAGGTAATTGTAAAATTTCGCGATTTACATTTAGATTGTACTGACTGGTTAGCTATCGCAAGTCTACCGTTTAATCATGCCACATAGGATACCACATGAGAAATGAGAATGAGAAATGAATGAAGATACCAGACAGAATGAGGAATGTATTTGGATACCAGACAGAGTTAGAAATGAGTTAGGATACCACACATAATGAGAAATTAGTTAGAATACCAAAAATAATGTGAAATGAGTTAGGATACCACATAGAGTTAGAAATGAGACAGAATACCACACAGAATGAGAAATGAGCCAGGATACCAGACATAATGAGGAAGTAGCCAGAATACCAGACAGAGTTAGAAATGAGACAGAATACCAGACAGAGTTAGAAATGAGACAGGATACCAGACAGAGTTAGAAATGAGACAGGATACCAGACAGAGTTAGAAATGAGACAGGATACCAGACAGAGTTAGAAATGAGACAGGATACCAGACAGAGTTAGAAATGAGACAGGATACCAGACAGAGTTAGAAATGAGACAGGATACCAGACAGAGTTAGAAATGAGACAGGATACCAGACAGAGTTAGAAATGAGACAGGATACCAGACAGAGTTAGAAATGAGACAGGATACCAGACAGAGTTAGAAATGAGACAGGATACCAGACAGAGTTAGAAATGAGACAGGATACCAGACAGAGTTAGAAATGAGACAGGATACCAGACAGAGTTAGAAATGAGACAGGATACCAGACAGAGTTAGAAATGAGACAGGATACCAGACAGAGTTAGAAATGAGACAGGATACCAGACAGAGTTAGAAATGAGACAGGATACCAGACAGAGTTAGAAATGAGACAGGATACCAGACAGAGTTAGAAATGAGACAGGATACCAGACAGAGTGAGAAATGAGACAGGATACCAGACAGAGTTAGAAATGAGACAGGATACCAGACAGAGTTAGAAATGAGACAGGATACCAGACAGAGTTAGAAATGAGCCAGGATACTAGACAGAGTGAGAAATGAGCCAGGATACTAGACAGAATGAGAAATGAGCCAGGATACTAGACAGAGTGAGAAATGAGCCAGGATACTAGACAGAATGAGAAATGAGCCAGGATACTAGACAGAATGAGAAATGAGCCAGGATACTAGACAGAATGAGAAATGAGCCAGGATACTAGACAGAATGAGAAATGAGCCAGGATACTAGACAGAATGAGAAATGAGCCAGGATACTAGACAGAATGAGAAATGAGCCAGGATACCAGAGTTAGAAATGAGCCAGGATACCTCTGTCCACTCAAAAGTGTGCCACTCTGGCGGACACTCCGCCATATGACACTCACTCTCCGAGGGCGGCTTGGTCTCGGTACACTCCGTGTCGTCCAGCACGATCTGATCGTTGTCCCCCACCAGCTGCAGACACACGACCTGACGTGACCTATGACCTTCACCGCACGACTGGCTGCACTCAGACCATGGACCCCAGGACCATCTGCACAATTGGGAAAATAATAGTGGTGTTTTATTTGTTTTTTTTTTAGTCTTGATTACTTAGGGGCTAGGGTTAGGACTAGGGTTAGTTTAAGAAAATAATATTAATTATATTTTCCAGTCCAGAACAAATGTTAAGACATTTTAACTATATCAATGAAAAAAGAATCTTTTGATGCTTATATCAACATTTTATTATTTTTATGTAGTTTGTTTTCCCTCATACAATTTCATCATACTGTAGAGGAAATACGCATGTGCTTATATTCTCACTCATCCTGTCAAGGAAATAAACACTGTGCTTATGTAACCCTCACTCAGTGGGGATGCTTTTACCCACTGAGGTGTTGTGGTTAAGACGGGCTGACCCTGAGATTAAGTACACACCGACACCGACAGTTGTTGTCCAGTACTCGCTTTATTTACAGCATCGAGCAGAGGCGTAGCGAGGGGGGGGGGGGCGGGGGGGGGGACATATGTCCCCGGGCGCCGACCTTAGGGGGGGCGCCAAATTGAAAGTTTGAGGGGGGGTGCAAATGAAAAGTTCGAGGGGGGGGGGGGTGCAAATCGAAAGTTTGAGGGGGGGGGGTGCAAATGAAAAGTTCGAGGGGGGGTGCAAATCGAAAGTTTGAGGGGGGGTGCAAATGAAAAGTTCGAGGGGGGGGGGTGCAAATCGAAAATTTACTCCCGAGGGGGGCGCCAAATTGAAAGTATGTCCCCGGGCGCCGGGAAGGGTCGCTACGCCTCTGGCATCGAGCCATGACGGCGATGCAACACAGTAGTACAAAACAAACTAGCCAAGAAGAAAAAATCCAAAAGACCAAAACCAAAAGACCAAAAGAAACTGTAGCCCTAAAACAAATGTAAATAAAAAAAGTTACATTCCTGACAACACCATGTGTACTCTACAATATACACGGGTAACAATAAAATATGTTTTGGCCAGTACACAGTACTGCCAACAAGTACCAATACGTAGTACTTCAAATAAATACTTATATTAATACTCACCCTAACTAGTGTGCACATGCAGCACTAGCAGGAATACACAACTAAGTATTTTAACAAACATAATTTATATAACTACCTTCATTAGGTCTACATCTTGGTCCACAGACAGCAGCCTTGCGTGTGCGACACGGCTAGGCATGAAACTACCCACAGTCCCATGTCACATGACATGGAACACAGGTAACATCGCTCACAAAAGCATAAAAAAACAACGTCAACAGTTCAGTTGCAGTCCCACAGGGGCCGCAACCCAATGAATAAAAACTTCATATTTTTATCCCCCTTTGGCTGGTAACCATATGTGTTACACTTATTTCCTCTGAACTGTAAGAGGATATAAGCACGTTGCGTATTTCTTCTATTGTTAGCTGAAATAAGCACTATCCATAAAACTTATATAAAAGGTCTTAAATACTTCATTTAGAAAACAATAATTACGTATATCAATAACTCTAGCAGTTTGTTATAAAATGTTACGACTTGCTTACAGATATCTAACGACTCCGCTTTAAAAAATCTTTTGACTTGCTTAAAGATATCTAACGACTCGCTTTAAAAAGTCTTACGACATGCTTAAAGATATCTAACGACTAGTTTTAAAAAGTCTTACGACATGCTTAAAGATATCTAACGACTAGTTTTAAAAAGTCTTACGACATGCTTAAAGATATCTAACGACTAGTTTTAAAAAGTCTTACGACATGCTTAAAGATATCTAACGACTAGTTTTAAAAAGTCTTACGACATGCTTAAAGATATCTAACGACTCGCTTTAAAAAGTCTTACGACATGCTTAAAGATATCTAACGACTAGTTTTAAAAAGTCTTACGACATGCTTAAAGATATCTAACGACTAGTTTTAAAAAGTCTTACGACATGCTTAAAGATATCTATAATCTAACGTCTTGTTTTAAAATGACGCTTACTTGGGCGGGCAGGGCTGTTCATTACATTTTCTGGTGTGGTCAGACGGACGAGGCTGTCTGTCACAGTAGCTGTTCTCGGCTGTCCGACCGTCGGATTTGTTGACACATCTCGCTTTAGAGGTACTGGTTCCTGTAATAGTGACAGGAGTTAGTACTGGTTCCTGTAATAGTGACAGGAGTTAGTACTGGTTCCTGTAATAGTGACAGGAGTTAGTACTGGTTCCTGTAATAGGACAGTGACAGGAGTTAGTACTGGTCCCTGTAATAGTGACAGGAGTTAGTACTGGTTCCTGTAATAGGACAGTGACAGGAGTTAGTACTGGTTCCTGTAATAGGACAGTGACAGGAGTTAGTACTGGTTCCTGTAATAGGACAGTGACAGGAGTTAGTACTGGTTCCTGTAATAGGGCAGTGACAGGAGTTAGTACTGGTTCCTGTAATAGTGACAGGAGTTAGTACTGGTTCCTGTAATAGGACAGTGACAGGAGTTAGTACTGGTTCCTGTAATAGGGCAGTGACAGGAGTTAGTACTGGTTCCTGTAATAGGGCAGTGACAGGAGTTAGTACTGGTTCCTGTAATAGTGACAGGAGTTAGTACTGGTTCCTGTAATAGTGACAGGAGTTAGTACTGGTTCCTGTAATAGGACAGTGACAGGAGTTAGTACTGGTTCCTGTAATAGGGCAGTGACAGGAGTTAGTACTGGTTCCTGTAATAGGGCAGTGACAGGAGTTAGTACTGGTTCCTGTAATAGTGACAGGAGTTAGTACTGGTTCCTGTAATAGGACAGTGACAGGAGTTAGTACTGGTTCCTGTAATAGGGCAGTGACAGGAGTTAGTACTGGTTCCTGTAATAGGGCAGTGACAGGAGTTAGTACTGGTTCCTGTAATAGTGACAGGAGTTAGTACTGGTTCCTGTAATAGGGCAGTGACAGGAGTTAGTACTGGTTCCTGTAATAGGGCAGTGACAGGAGTTAGTACTGGTTCCTGTAATAGGGCAGTGACAGGAGTTAGTACTGGTTCCTGTAATAGGGCAGTGACAGGAGTTAGTACTGGTTCCTGTAATAGGGCAGTGACAGGAGTTAGTACTGGTTCCTGTAATAGTGACAGGAGTTAGTACTGGTTCCTGTAATAGGACAGTGACAGGAGTTAGTACTGGTTCCTGTAATAGGGCAGTGACAGGAGTTAGTACTGGTTCCTGTAATAGGACAGGAGTTCAGTGGAGGCAACCAAGAGGTAAAAGTACGCTTTTCAGCAAAGGTCAAATAGAACAAAAAATGTATAATTATTTGGTGTTATTTTAAGGGATTTTGTTTGTTGGTTTATTTTTAAAGGTTTCAAGTTAACTTACCTGTAGAGCAGGACTTGCAGCAAGGTGTCCAACTCACCTGTGGAGTGGGACTAGAGCAAGGTGTCCAACTCACCTGTAGAACAGGACTTGGAGCAAGGTGTCCAACTCACCTGTGGAGCAGGACTTGGAGCAAGGTGTCCATCTAACTAACCTGTAGAGCAGGACTTGGAGCAAGGTGTCCAACTCACCTGTGGAGCAGGACTTGGAGCAAGGTGTCCATCTAACTAACCTGTAGAGCAGGACTTGGAGCAAGGTGTCCAACTCACCTGTAGAGCAGGACTTGGAGCAAGGTGTCCATCTAACTCAACTGTAGAGCAGGACTTGGAGCAAGGTGTCCATCCAACTCACCTGTAGAGCAGGATTTGGAGCAAGGTGTCCATCTAACTCACCTGTAGAGCAGGATTTAGAGCAAGGTGTCCATCTAACTCACCTGTAGAGCAGGATTTGGAGCAAGGTGTCCACATTAACAAACCTGTAGAGCAGGACTTGGAGCAAGGTTTCCAACTCACCTGTAGAGCAGGACTTAGAGCAAGGTGTCCATCTAACTCACCTGTAGAGCAGGACTTGGAGCAAGGTGTCCAACTCACCTGTGGAGCGGGACTTGGAGCAAGGTGTCTATCTAACTCACCTGTAGAGCAGGACTTGGAGCAAGGTGTCCATCTAACTTACCTGTGGAGCAGGACTTGTAGCAAGGTGTCCATCTAACTGACCTGTAGAGCAGGACTTGGAGCAAGGTGTCCATCTAACTCACCTGTGGAGCAGGACTTGGAGCAAGGTGTCCATCTAACTTACTTGTAGAGCAGGACTTGGAGCAATGTGTCGAACTCACCTGTGGAGCAGGACTTGGAGCAAGGTGTCCATCTAACTTACCTGTAGAGCAGGACTAGAGCAAGGTGTCCAACTCACCTGTAGAGCAGGACTTGGAGCAAGGTGTCCATCTAACTCACCTGTGGAGCAGGACTTGGAGCAAGGTGTCTATCTAACTTACCTGTAGAGCAGGACTTGGAGCAAGGTGTCCAACTCACCTGTAGAGCAGGACTTGGAGCAAGGTGTCCATCTAACTCACCTGTAGAGCAGGACTTGGAGCAAGGTGTCCAACTCACCTGTAGAGCAGGACTTGGAGCAAGGTGTCCAACTCACCTGTGGAGCAGGACTTGGAGCAAGGTGTCCATCTAACTTACTTGTAGAGCAGGACTTGGAGCAATGTGTCGAACTCACCTGTGGAGCAGGACTTGGAGCAAGGTGTCCATCTAACTTACTTGTAGAGCAGGACTTGGAGCAATGTGTCGAACTCACCTGTGGAGCAGGACTTGGAGCAAGGTGTCCATCTAACTTACCTGTAGAGCAGGACTAGAGCAAGGTGTCCAACTCACCTGTAGAGCAGGACTTGGAGCAAGGTGTCCATCTAACTCACCTGTGGAGCAGGACTTGGAGCAAGGTGTCTATCTAACTTACCTGTAGAGCAGGACTTGGAGCAAGGTGTCCAACTCACCTGTAGAGCAGGACTTGGAGCAAGGTGTCCATCTAACTCACCTGTAGAGCAGGACTTGGAGCAAGGTGTCCAACTCACCTGTAGAGCAGGACTTGGAGCAAGGTGTCCATCTAACTTACCTGTAGAGCAGGACTTTGAGCAAGGTGTCCAACTCACCTGTGGAGCGGGACTTGGAGCAAGGTGTCTATCTAACTCACCTGTAGAGCAGGACTTGGAGCAAGGTGTCTATCTAACTTACCTGTAGAGCAGGATTTGGTGCAAGGTGTCCAACTCACCTGTAGAGCAGGACTTGGAGCAAGGTGTCCAACTCACCTGTAGAGCAGGACTTGGAGCAAGGTGTCTAACTTACCTGTAGAGCAGGACTTGGAGCAAGGTGTCTAACTTACCTGTAGAGCAGGACTTGGAGCAAGGTGTCTATCTAACTTACCTGTGGAGCAGGACTTGGAGCAAGGTGTCCATCCAACTCACCTGTAGAGCAGGACTTGGAGCCAGGTGTCCATCTAACTCACCTGTGGAGCAGGACTTGGAGCAAGGTGTCCATCTAACTTACTTGTAGAGCAGGACTTGGAGCAATGTGTCGAACTCACCTGTGAAGCAGGACTTGGAGCAAGGTGTCCATCTAACTTACCTGTAGAGCAGGACTAGAGCAAGGTGTCCAACTCACCTGTAGAGCAGGACTTGGAGCAAGGTGTCCATCTAACTCACCTGTGGAGCAGGACTTGGAGCAAGGTGTCTATCTAACTTACCTGTAGAGCAGGACTTGGAGCAAGGTGTCCAACTCACCTGTAGAGCAGGACTTGGAGCAAGGTGTCCATCTAACTCACCTGTAGAGCAGGACTTGGAGCAAGGTGTCCAACTCACCTGTAGAGCAGGACTTGGAGCAAGGTGTCCATCTAACTTACCTGTAGAGCAGGACTTTGAGCAAGGTGTCCAACTCACCTGTGGAGCGGGACTTGGAGCAAGGTGTCTATCTAACTCACCTGTAGAGCAGGACTTGGAGCAAGGTGTCTATCTAACTCACCTGTAGAGCAGGACTTGGAGCAAGGTGTCCATCTAACTTACCTGTGGAGCAGGACTTGGAGCAAGGTGTCCATCCAACTCACCTGTAGAGCAGGACTTGGAGCCAGGTGTCCATCTAACTCACCTGTGGAGCAGGACTTGGAGCAAGGTGTCCATCTAACTTACTTGTAGAGCAGGACTTGGAGCAATGTGTCGAACTCACCTGTGGAGCAGGACTTGGAGCAAGGTGTCCATCTAACTTACCTGTAGAGCAGGACTAGAGCAAGGTGTCCAACTCACCTGTAGAGCAGGACTTGGAGCAAGGTGTCCATCTAACTCACCTGTGGAGCAGGACTTGGAGCAAGGTGTCTATCTAACTTACCTGTAGAGCAGGACTTGGAGCAAGGTGTCCAACTCACCTGTAGAGCAGGACTTGGAGCAAGGTGTCCATCTAACTCACCTGTAGAGCAGGACTTGGAGCAAGGTGTCCAACTCACCTGTAGAGCAGGACTTGGAGCAAGGTGTCCATCTAACTTACCTGTAGAGCAGGACTTTGAGCAAGGTGTCCAACTCACCTGTGGAGCGGGACTTGGAGCAAGGTGTCTATCTAACTCACCTGTAGAGCAGGACTTGGAGCAAGGTGTCTATCTAACTCACCTGTAGAGCAGGACTTGGAGCAAGGTGTCCATCTAACTTACCTGTGGAGCAGGACTTGGAGCAAGGTGTCCATCTAACTGACCTGTAGAGCAGGACTTGGAGCAAGGTGTCCATCTCACCTGTATAGCAGGACTTGGAGCAAGGTGTCTATCTAACTTACCTGTAGAGCAGGATTTGGTGCAAGGTGTCCAACTCACCTGTAGAGCAGGACTTGGAGCAAGGTGTCTAACTTACCTGTAGAGCAGGACTTGGAGCAAGGTGTCTAACTTACCTGTAGAGCAGGACTTGGAGCAAGGTGTCTATCTAACTTACCTGTGGAGCAGGACTTGGAGCAAGGTGTCCATCCAACTCACCTGTAGAGCAGGACTTGGAGCAAGGTGTCCATCTAACTCACCTGTGGAGCAGGACTTGGAGCAAGGTGTCCATCTAACTTACTTGTAGAGCAGGACTTGGAGCAATGTGTCGAACTCACCTGTGGAGCAGGACTTGGAGCAAGGTGTCCATCTAACTTACCTGTAGAGCAGGACTAGAGCAAGGTGTCCAACTCACCTGTAGAGCAGGACTTGGAGCAAGGTGTCCATCTAACTCACCTGTGGAGCAGGACTTGGAGCAAGGTGTCTATCTAACTTACCTGTAGAGCAGGACTTGGAGCAAGGTGTCCAACTCACCTGTAGAGCAGGACTTGGAGCAAGGTGTCCATCTAACTCACCTGTAGAGCAGGACTTGGAGCAAGGTGTCCAACTCACCTGTAGAGCAGGACTTGGAGCAAGGTGTCCATCTAACTTACCTGTAGAGCAGGACTTTGAGCAAGGTGTCCAACTCACCTGTAGAGCAGGAATTGGAGCAAGGTGTCCATCTAACTCACCTGTAGAGCAGGACTTGAAGCAAGGAATCCATCAAACTTACTTGTAGAGCAGGACTTGGAGCAAGGTGTCCAACTCACCTGTAGAGCAGGACTTGGAGCAAGGTGTCCATCTAACTCACCTGTAGAGCAGGACTTTGAGCAAGGTGTCCAACTCACCTGTAGAGCAGGACTTGGAGCAAGGTGTCCAACTCACCTGTAGAGCAGGACTTGGAGCAAGGTGTCCATCTAACTCACCTGTAGAGCAGGACTTGGAGCAAGGTGTCCAACTCACCTGTAGAGCAGGACTTGGAGCAAGGTGTCCATCTAACTCACCTGTAAAGCAGGACTTGGAGCAAGGTATCCAACTCACATGTAGAGCAGGACTTGGAGCAAGGTGTCTATCTAACTTACCTGTAGAGCAGGACTTGGAGCAATGTGTCTAACTCACCTGTAGAGCAGGACTAGAGCAAGGTGTCCATCTAACTCACCTGTAGAGCAGGACTTGTAGCAAGGTGTCCATCTAACTCACCTGTAGAGCAGGACTTGGAGCAAGGTGTCTATCTAACTTACCTGTAGAGCAGGACTTGGAGCAATGTGTCTAACTCACCTGTAGAGCAGGACTAGAGCAAGGTGTCCATCTAACTCACCTGTAGAGCAGGACTTGGAGCAATGTGTCTAACTCACCTGTAGAGCAGGACTAGAGCAAGGTGTCCATCTAACTCACCTGTAGAGCAGGACTTGGAGCAAGGTGTCCATCTAACTCACCTGTAGAGCAGGACTTGAAGCAAGGAATCCATCTAACTTATTTGTAGAGCAGGACTTGGAGCAAGGTGTCCATCTAACTCACCTGTAGAGCAGGACTTGGAGCAAGGTGTCCAACTCACCTGTAGAGCAGGAATTGGAGCAAGGTGTCCATCTAACTCACCTGTAGAGCAGGACTTGAAGCAAGGAATCCATCTAACTTATTTGTAGAGCAGGACTTGGAGCAAGGTGTCCATCTAACTTACCTGTAGAGCAAGGTGTCATCTAACTTACCTGTGGAGCAGGACTTGGAGCAAGGTGTCCATCTAACTTACCTGTGGAGCAGGACTTGGAGCAAGGTGTCCACGGCGAGTGGGCCCAGGTAAAGAGAGAGATGTCTGGCTGTGACTTGTCCGTCTTGTTGATTGGCAGAGTATACTGGTACAAGATCCCTCGATTGTCTTCCTGCATCAGGATCTACAACACAAGTTTCTCAACATTCAGTATGACATTCAATGGTTTTCTCACCATCCAGTATGACATTCAATGGTTTTCTTAACATTCGGTATGTCATTCAATGTTTTTTTTTAACATTCAATATGTCATTCAATGGTTTTCTTAATACTTCGTCTTGTATCCAACAATTTCGTTAACAGTAAGTCTTGTATTCAACAATTTCTTTAACATCGAGTCTTGTATTCAACAAATTTGTCCTATATTCAACAATGTTCTTAACGTTCATTGTAATATTCAACATTTTTTTTCGCCTTGGTGTAACCACCCTCAACGGTGTCCACCAGTTTAGTCCTTATTGTATGTTACTGGCCAACTCTTCTGTCTATCACAAGAAAGAATTGCCAGGTAAAATTTTAACATTTCTGTCAGGAAATAATAAGCTAATCTAAATGGAAAATATTTCTGCAATAAAAAAAAGATATCAGAATATATGAGAAGAAAAAACAGAAAACAAAACTCTGGCAACTCTCACCATAATGACCAAGTCTTCAGAGGTTGGCCCGTTGGCTCTCAGAGACTCCGGCTCATGTTCGGCCAGCCTGTAGGTGAAGACTGTGCCGGCCACACGGAACCTGCGTGGCCAGTCAATGGTCCAGTCACCGTTGATGAAGTAATTCTCTTTACTGTTTCCTTTTGTATCCTTCAGAGCTAATGAGTATGCATGTCCACTTACATATATATATATATATATATATATATATATATATATATATATATATATATATATATATATATATATGTGTGTGTGTGTTTTTATGTGTGTGCATATATATATATATAGGCCTATTTATACATATATACTGTATATATATATATATATATATATATATATATATATATATATAAATTATGTGTATAAATAATTAATGTGGCTGTTTATACACAAAAGTTGTTAAGCTTATCTGTTGTTAATAAAAGAGTAAAATTATTGGTACCTAAATAGTTTCTGGAAAATTTGGCTTCTGACACTTTTATATGCATAGCACCTTTAGGAATAGTGACAACTTCTTGGTAGTCTAAAAATGAGACATTTGGATGTTATTTCTTAGTTACACAATGTAACATTTTATAATATTTTTTAATTAAAATTTCTACTATTTACTTTAAACAAAAAAAAACAAAAATTTTAATTCTCTTTGGTTATACAACAAATACTGGAAAATAATCCAACAATTCATACTACTGTCAAGATTTCATCAAAGCAATGCGCGGACATCATTGCTTAGTTAGCTAAAAATAAAACAAGTGATATGCGGCATTCAACATCTACAATAAAGCCAAGGAAATGTAAAAGAAGAAATAATTGACTGATATGTTGATTCACTTAAACTTTACTTTGTACATTAGTACCAACATTTTTTTAAAATCTAGTTATTTTAAAACGATGTGCTGTTATGAGACACATCACGATGAAGTTGAAAAATAAAATATTTTTTATTGTTAAACCAATAGGAGAATTTATGTGACCAACATGATTCACTTCAAGTTGACTCTTATAACAAATTGTTAGTGAAAATAAACAAGGTATTCACTTTAATTAACGAAGATGCTATTCACACGAAATAAATCTATTGATAAAAATTAGACAATCATCTTGCTCTCTTCTAAATAAATGTGTATTTTCGCAAGTTTAAGCAAGGGAAGGCACCTCCTCTGGGCAAAGGTTTATCAAAGAGTCCAGATATTGTCTTGCATGCTGAGTTGTCTCCTCCACAGACCCTGCAGTTGTCTTCCTTGACTTGAGATCCCAAGTACCCATCACAACCAACAAACTGGAATAATTCATGGAAAATCTTGAACACGTGATAACAAGCGTATAAGAAAAGAATGCATGAACATTTTTATTTGTAATTAAGTTACGCTTCTATTTATATTGCATTGATGCCCTAGTTAATTATAAATAGTAAAAAAAATTCCCTTTTCGGAACTAACGGTTCATAGAATAAATGACGTAGAAAATATGTTTCTTGACCAGGGCTAGTCGTTGTTATTGTCAAAACTTTGCCCAGCCGCTACTTCTCTTCACATTAGTCAGGTACCCACCAGAGTTGGGTGGACTCAGAGACGTCCTATATAATGAGAATCCGAACTCGAAACTTTAAAGTTAGTTGCAGAATGCGCTACCACTCGACCACGCTATCCCAGTAAGTAAAGTCTGTCAGGTTGACAATGTCAAGGTCCCAACACTTGCTACAGTAGAGCAGATGTGCTCTCGGCGTGGCTTACGTTACATTCGCTATCCCAGTAAGTAAAGTCTGTCAGGTTGACAATGTCAAGGTCACAACACTTGTTACAGTAGAGCAGATGTGCTCTCGGCGTGGCTTACGTTACATTCGCCGTTGATGCAGACGTGGGGCAGGTCGGAGTAACATTTGGTGCCGTCCTTCACCTTGGGCGACCTCTCCGTGTAGAAGTTTTGGCCGTCGGCCATGCAGACAAGGGAGCAAACTTTGGAGAGTTCTAGACGGAGAGAGAGAGAGAGAACTACACGTCAATATGGGTGTGGGGGGGGGGGCGTGTGTTTAGTGTGTGTGTGTGTATTTGTGCGTGTGTGTGTGTGTGCGTGCGTGCGTGTGTTGATGTGTGTGTGTTGGTGTGTGTGTGCGTGCGTGTGTTGATTTGTGTGTGTCGGTGTGTGTGTGGGTGGGTGGGCGTGTGTTTAGTGTGTGTGTTGGTGTATGCGTGTGTGTGCGTGCGTGTGTTGATGTGTGTGTATGTGTGTGTTGGTGTGTGTGTGTTGATGTGTGTATGTGTGTGTATGTGTGTGTGTGTGTGTGTGTGTGTGCGTGTTTGTGTTGGTGTAGCTGACCGACATAATACACGTGGTCTTGATCCTTATCACAAATTGTTAGTGAAATTGTTGGCGCTGTAAGCAAATGAAGCATTTTGGTGATGGCGGGGGCGTGATCGACAGGGTGGAGGGGGGGGGAAATGTCCTGCTCCCACTTTTTATACAGCATTATTCAAATCTTTTATTCATATTTACACATTCACTTTGAATTTTTCAACTTAACGAAAACCTTTTTCCACGAGTTGTACATTTCTCTCCACTTGTTAGTACACACGGATCTTCCTTCTTGCACTTTGATACAATCCATTTTTCCAGCCACTTAACTGTATATATTTCGCAATCCTCTACCCACTAATGCCACAATACCCTCATCACGCTGCCACATTACCCTGCCCAAGAGTGCCGTATTACGAATATCACAATGTCCTGCCCATCAATGGCATAATGCCTTATCTACGGATGATACTAAGCCCTACCGTCATTTCCTGAGTATGGCACCCACTTGTAGAGCTTGCCACGGAATGGAACTTCATTGAAACTGCTGCACTGGACATGGCGGAAATCCTCACTGCCCGCCGGACATGGCTAGAGGGAAAATTAAAGGAAAACAAAATTAAAGGTTAATGAAAAAAATAATACCACACTAGAACATATATATATATATATATATATATATATATATATATATATATATATATATATATATATATATATATATATATATATATATACTTATTTATTTATTATTAAAATTTTAAAATATTTATTTACATTTTTAAACTTTTAAAATGTCTCTTATTTATCTTAGTCTTCTAAGTTTCGGAGGTAATTTATGAATAATGTATTCTCTTTGCACCAAATTTTGTTTTATTTTTATAGTACACCAAGTTTATACTTTAATCAGTTTAAATTCCGCCGAATGCCATTCAACATACAGAGGGGAGATAAACGTATTTTAAACCCTCAGCTTTAAAGATGACAGAGTTATCTACACATGGTTCACTCACCGTGACGTTGCAAGACCGGTATCTCCTCCGCTGCCCGATACAGTATCGGCCGCCATCTTTGGGCCTAGAGTTAAAGCAGATAAGAGCAGTAAAACAAGAAAAATTTGAGGTGCGACACCCTACTAGTGTCGGCAAGATATAGGTGGGGCTGCCGCCCCCCTGCCTTCAAAAAATTCGGCCTACTAGATAAAATGTTAGATTAAAACTGGAGCGTAGACTTATTAAATCGTGTGGGTGACTTAGTCCACCTTACTTAGTTTGTGTTTGTATCGCTACACAATTTATGTTTGTATTCCCCTCACAATTTACATCAAAGCAGCCAAATAGCAACAAATTTCAATGTTAAAACTCGATTTTGGAAATCTTTTTAAAAAATAATAATAGCGAAGTTTGTATTATATTTAATAAACCTTAAATAACAATATATTTGGTCTGTAACGGTATTTTTATTTAAAATTTTTGCGTCTCTTCACTTGTCGGTGATATAAACTATACTGTGAATAGTGGTATAAACTACTTACTGAGGATTATCACATTCTCTCTCGCTCGTGGAGACGCCGCCCTCGCAAGTTCTGGAACATTCTCCCCACCCTCCCCAGGGCCCCCAGCTCCCGTGGACAGTGACAGACTCGTACTTTGGGTTACGGCACTCTCCGTGGTAGCACCACTGTGGGGAGGTAGAGAAATTACATCAAATTAGCAACATTGTCTCACCATATCCAACAGTATATATATATATATATATATATATATATATATATATATATATATATATATATATATATATATATATATATATATATATATATATATATATATATATATATATATATATATATATATATATATATATATATATATATATATATAAAGGCAGATATTCCTCACCCCCTTCTTGTGTCTGGGCATGGAACATTCGGTGCCCTCAGCTGCTGGCATGCCGAGTGTCTCGCAAGTGCTGTTGTCGTTCATACACCACAGCTCCAGGCATGCGTACTAAAAGAAAAAAAAAAGATCAATACGTTACTAAAATGTTTGTTCACGGAGTGAGAAAAAAGTAATTTACACTATGACATTCATAATTATATTTTAGTATCCCATCTATAGATAATGCAATACAGACAGGCTTTTGCACCAATGGGAATGTTAGAATAAAGTTGATAAATAACTCATTATTTAAATTTGAAAACCAGTATTCGAAACCCCTTCCCACCGTTAAATACTCTCCAGATTAAAAAAACCCTTATATCCCCCTATAGGTAAAGTAATAGGACTAGGATGGACATTTGAACAGGTATAGAGGTATAAAATAGGTAACCTAACGTGGCTTGAGGGTTCGTCGTTCAGGTAACATAGGTTATAGCATAGCTAACAATATGTTTGTGACGGCCTTTATACAGGTAGCATCTGTTGGTCAGAGACGATTCTTTAATCTCTACCCTACCCTTAGGTGGACGACAGGGGGGGGGGGGTAATATATAAGGAAGTAGTTCGTCTGGAGACTAATTGGCCGAGGGGTGGGGGAGGGTAATCTATTTTGCCACCCGTAGATGAGCAGTTTCATAGTGAACTCACAACATAAACGTTAAATACAATACACAAAATAATGGATTAAAAGAAAAAAAAAGTTGGATTGGTTAATAAAAACTTGCAGATTTATTATCATCACCGCCGACCTTGAACTTGCATGCCTTGGATGTGGGGCCGAACTGGAACCGGCACTGGGCGTTCATGTCGTAGACGTCACCCGGCAGGTCACGTGGGTAGACGTCTCTCTTGAGGGGCACGTTGTCCAGACACCAGCCCTGCCCAGAGCTGTCCAGACGATATATGTAACAGTTCATGATCGTATGGATAGATGTCAGGCTGGGATTTATATAAAGCTGAGGCTAATAAAGCAATGCTCAGTGAGATGTTGATGCAATGTACATAAAGCATGTGGTTTATGTATATAAAAAATGTCGTTAAAGGGTTAAAATTGGGTATTGTTTATCAGGCGTTCTGAACACCTGATCACGTGACTAGTCACATCGCTGACGTCACTTGTACTTTAAATTTATGTTTAGGACAAGCATAGACATGCAGTGTTAGAGAAACGTATACTTTGATTTTTTTTATGTATTTTCACGATAGCATAAAATGTATACTAATTAACACATCCATGATTAATTGAACTATAGAATAAGTTATCTTCTCAATTGCTTATGTTTGAATAAAACTTTGTTTTTTAAAAAACTTATAATAAACTGCAAAAAAAGTATGTTGGAAATTCAACGTCTGTTGGGAGTAACTATTGTAAATAGCGTAATGTTCTTTACTTACAAACACGGTATATTTTACATAGTTTAGAAACAACGTAAACTTTACACATACAATGTTACTGTAAACAGTGCAATGTCATGTACCTAGCAACACAGTATTCTTTACACATATTAACAATACGGTATACTTTACAAGGATTGTATTACTGTAAATTGTGTAATTTTCTGTACCTAGAAAAGCGGTATACTTTACACAGATTATATTACTGAAAATTGTGTAATGTTCTGTACCTAGAAAAACGGTATACCTTACACAGATTAGCAACAATTATAAACTTTACAAATATTAGCCACACGGTATACTTGACACAGATTATATTTACAAGCAATACTGATGTCCTACTCCAGAAAGTCCGTGACGTATTTCCGTGAGCAGCTGGACCAATGAAAGGACGAGGTTTCTTTGCTGAGTCTAGTGGCCATTAGCTGGGCTGGTTCCTTACCCGGCGTGCCGCATTGGTTCCCGTCTCCGTCATGGTGCATCCCGATACTGTAAGTAGATTACATTATGTAAGCATATATGTTGTACTGCATCCCAATGCTGTAAGTACATTACATTATGTAAGCATATATGTTGTACTGCATCCCAATGCTGTAAGTAGATTACATTATGTAAGCATATATGTTGTACTGCATCCCAATGCTGTAAGTAGATTACATTATGTAAGCACATATGTTGTACTACATCCCGATAATGTAATGAAAGTATATTAAATTATGTAAGCACATATGTTGTACTGCATCCCGATGCTGAAAGTACATTACATTATGAAAGCACAACAGTGGCGTCGCTAGGTCGGGTGTCACAGGGTGTGGTACCTCCTGGTGTCACCCCCCCTGTTTTCCACTGCAAATTTTGCAGTTATTTTCACCCCCCCCCCCCCCCAGTAAAAGCTTAAATAATGTACTTAAATAAATTTTAACTCTTACTTATTAATCATTCTGTGAACTGGCTAAAACCCATTAATTCTATATATATTTTGCAATTTTAGTCTTGGTGTCACCCCATTAAGTGGTGTCACCCCGTGCGGTCCGCACCCCCTCCCCCGCCTCGCGACGCCCCAGAGCACATATAATATTGTGGTGCTTTCTGAAGCGAAAAGTACAATGCATGTGTAATGCATTCTGAAGCATTCTTTAGCTACAGATTTACATTTTGTTTCATCCAAATTAATAGGACCCTCAAAAAAGTGTCTTCCAACAAAATGGACACTTTAACCCTTAAATGCATGACTTTTTAATAATGATTGAAAAAAATATTTTTATATTGTTTTGGTGGGTATATGAAGAGTATAGTCAAGTAAAAAAATATTTTTAGTTTAAACATGTTCTTTAATTAAAATCCGAAATGTTGCATGTCTGCAACATTATGTAGTAAGGTGATACTTTTTAAGACAGTTGTTTGTCTTGTTACAACAAAGATATATGTTGCACTTGTGGCAAACTGTTTGAGCTTGATGTGATTTTGCACCTGTCATTGCACTATTCCACGAGACTTAAGTGTCCACACAGGTCCAGGAGATCCAGGGTCCACACGTATCCAGGGTCCACACTGGTCCAGGAGATCTAGGGTCCACACTGGTCTTGTAGATCCAGGGTCAACACTGGTCCAGGATATCTAGGGTCCACACTGGTCTTGTAGATCCAGGGTCAACACTGGTCCAGGATATCTAGGGTCCACACTGGTCCAGGGTATCTAGGGTCCACACTGGTCCAGGATATCCAGGGTTCACACTGGTCCAGGATATCTAGGGTCCACACTGGTCCAGGGTATCTAGGATCCACACTGGTCCAGGGTATCTAGGGTCCACACTGGTCCAGGGTATCTAGGGTCCACACTGGTCCAGGATATCTAGGGTCCACACTGGTCCAGGATATCTAGGGTTTACACTGGTCCAGGATATCTAGGGTCCACACTGGTCCAGGATATCTAGGGTCCACACTGGTCCAGGATATCTATGGTCCACACTGGTCCAGGATATCTAGGGTCCACACTGGTCCAGGATATCTATGGTCCACACTGGTCCAGGATATCTAGGGTCCACACTGGTCTAGAATATCTAGGGTCCACACTTGTCCAGGGTATCTAGGGTTTACACTGGTACAGGATATCTATGGTCCACACTGGTCCAGGATATCTATGGTCCACACTGGTCCAGGATATCTAGGGTCCACACTGGTCTAGAATATCTAGGGTCCACACTGGTCTAGAATATCTAGGGTCCACACTTGTCCAGGAGATCCAGGGTCCACACTGGTCCAGGGTATCTAGGGTTTACACTGGTACAGGATATCTATGGTCCACACTGGTCCAGGATATCTATGGTCCACACTGGTCCAGGATATCTAGGGTCCACACTGGTCTAGAATATCTAGGGTCCACACTGGTCCAGGGTATCTAGGGTTTACACTGGTACAGGATATCTAGGGTCCACACTGGTCCAGGATATCTAGGGTCCACACAGGTCCAGAATATCTAGGGTCCACACTTGTCCAGGAGATCCAGGGTCCACACTGGTCCAGGGTATCTAGGGTCCACACTGGTCCAGGATATCTAGGGTCCACACTGGTCCAGGGTATCTAGGGTTTACACTGGTACAGGATATCTAGGGTCCACACTGGTCCAGGATATCTAGGGTCCACACTGGTCCAGAATATCTAGGGTCCACACTGGTCCAGGATATCTATGGTCCACACTGGTCCAGGATATCTAGGGTCCACACTGGTCCAGAATATCTAGGGTCCACACTGGTCCAGAATATCTAGGGTCCACACTGGTCCAGGATATCTATGGTCCACACTGGTCCAGGATATCTAGGGTCCACACTGGTACAGGATATCTAGGGTCCACACAGGTCCAGGATATCTAGGGTCTACACTGGTCCAGGATATCTAGGGTCCACACTGGTCCTGGAGATCCAGGGTCCACACTGGTCCAGGATATCCAGGGTCCACACTGGTCCAGGATATCTAGGGTCCACACTGGTCCAGGAGATCCAGGAAGATACTCTGGATTACCAAGAGCATCTACTTCATATTATTCTTCACCTTGATTCACATTGATTTCTTAATGATTATGCTGAAACTAGAAGAAAAACAAGGTACTATATAATCACCAATGCTGATGTATAAAGTAAAAAAAATAGTGCAAAAGTAGGTCAATTTGCATAACGTTGCAGCACTGCAACCTAAGTTTTGTGAAGATTTTAAAATAAATTATGAATTGATTTTCAAAACAACACATACAATATGTAATACATACCTTAGGTTGTCAGAAACATATTTTTTGAAATTTCAAAACCAGTTTATTTGACTTTGATGAACTTTGAAACGCCAACCAAAAATGCTGATATAAAAAACCTTGTGATCATGCACAAATTTGAGATCGGCTTGGCGGTAAAACAAATCTAGGTCACTTAGACATGCGCAAGATGTAGGTTAACATTGTAGTAATCAAACAACGTGATGCACAGAATAAAAGATGTTTAGGCTAATATTTTATAGGAAGGTAACTGGTATGTTGCAGATTTGTACCGGTTTGCATTTAAGGGTTAAGAAACAACTTTTCTGGCAAATGTAAGCAAACAGAGAAGGCCATTCGATACAGCCCAAGCAAATAGATTGTGCCAAGTTTTTAAAGAATCTGGGGGTGAGAAAAAAAAATTGAGGACCCTGAAATTAAAAGGATGGGGCTGGATGCAGCCAGAACGCCTACTCCCCCCCCCACTCCTTATCCACCACTGTGATCACGTGTCTGATGACGTGATGGCTATCTGAACTACCCCAGCACTCACTTGTGTCCGATCTCGTGGGCGATGGTAAACGCCGAGGCCAGCCCGATGTCTTGTATGATGCTGCAGCTCCTGAGCTTGTTGCACATGCCCTCTACAGCTGCCAGACCTGCTCACGTGCAGGTAACATGGGTAAATATAGGTAAACATAGGTAAAACATAGGTAACATGGGTAAACATAGGTAAACAGGTAAGCATAGGTAAACATAGGTAACATGGGTAAATATTGGTAACATAGGTAACATGGGTAAACATAGGTAACATAGGTAACTTAGTTAAACATAGGTAGCATGGGTAACTTAGGTAAACATAGGTAGTATAGGTAAACATAGGTAAACATAGGTAAACATAGGTAAACATAGGTAAACATAGGTAACATAGGTAACATAGGTAAAATTTAGGTAACATAGGTAACATAGGTAACAAGGGTAAACATAGGTAACATAGGTAAACATAAACATAGGTACATAGGTAAGATTGGTAAACGTAACATAGGTAAACATAGGTTACAAAGGTAACATAGGTAAGCATAGCTTACATTGGTAAACATAGGTAACATAGGTAAACATAGGTAACATGGGTAAACATAGGTAATATATGTGAACATAGGTACAAACATAGGTAACATAGGTAACATAGGTAACACATAGGTAACATAGGTAAATAAAGGTAACATAGGAACAGTCATAGGTAACAAACATAGGTAAAGTAATATGACTTTGATGGACCTTAGTACAGGTATAGATGTATAAAATAGGTAACCTAACGTAGCTTGAGGGTGCTTCTTACAGTTAACATCTATATATATAATTCTCTTCTTGGAGACCATAGAAAAGACCAAGCTGTAAGCGCGCCTAGCAGGCCCCTCTCTACCTCTCTAGGCATATCCATACCACCCCCACCCCCACATGGTCTGGTGAGCTGTGGTTCACGCTAAATGTTTACAATCGAAGAGCCGGGTTATGTGACGGCTATTAGGCAGATAATTTACTTTGAAACGATTTAAAACTTAGGGGAGGTAACTAAGAGGAGGCTGCTCTCACTGGGGGTTGTAGGTAGGGGGTGGGGGAAAGGAGGGTGGGGGGGGGGGTTATCGTCCTTAATGACCTACTGATAGTGTTTTAAACCAAATATTTTCAGTGGCAGCATTGGTACTGTCGAATTCACAAATTATGCAATACTGAAAAGTAGAAAATAAAACAACTAAATAGCGGCGTATGATATGCCGCGGGTCGGCTCGTAGGTTATAACATAGCTAACAATATGTTAATGACGCTTTTATGCAGGTAGCATATGTTGGTCAGAGACGATTCTATGCATGCCTTATCACACGTTTAAGTAAACTTGAGGAAGTCTACTGTTCTGTTTAAGCAGAAAGAGTTGAGTAATGTCACAATAGTTAACACAGGTATCAACATACGTAACATATTCTAGCTATTACGGATATACATGCAGGTAAAACGTGTAACACCATATGTCGGGGAAACATAGATAACAATATCTGACTGGTATCAACCTTTCATACAGGTAAAACATATAACCCCATATAGCTTGAGAGGTAACAACACACCTGTGATCGACCTTTAAATTTACAGGTGTTAACGACCCCTCAGATTAGGTGAAATGTAAAACAAAGATGAGAAAGGTCGGATCCGAACCCACAACTGCACGTGGCTCAGCTGGTATTGCCATTCGTCACGCACACTCAACCGTGTGAGACCTGGTACCCACCAGCACACCTGAACACAAATACCAGATCAACAGATACGGCAAAACGCACGTGACCCCCTCTGTAATATACTCACCCACCCCCTGGTCTAACTAGAGCCTGGTCGTCTTATCTAGCACGACCCCTTGTGAGATAGGTTTTTTTATATCGACTATCCAAGAAAAAAAAACGCGCCGTTAAAAAATCATTTGAATGCATTTTGAACCGTTGATTTAACATACGGTCTATCTCTTTTTTTTTTAAATTTTGCGAGGCAATTCACCTGATTTTTATTTACCATATCTAAAAAGAATTTGTTTTTTTTTTCGGACTAAAAATGTTTTCAGCGTCTACACCCAAGGAATTGACAACATGTACGTTTTTTTTTTTTAAAGAACATTTGCGGGTATTTTGATATTTTGGTTTTGTTGTGATTTTAAAAATCGCAAGAATATGTAAAACATGGTTGCTTCCCCTCTCATTTGTTAACTCATTCCCAGCTCCTGCTAGATCAGGCAGATAGATTTTAATTAAGAATCGAGCTTCCCCTCACCCCAGGGCATGGCACCGCCTGGTATAGGACAGACTCTAGCACTTCGGGTATGGAACACGACCCACGGTTTCGAGCCTGGGTTTCGAACTCAAGATTTTCGACTTTGCTAGCGAATTCTGCCTCTAGACCACGTTTTTTCCTTCTATTTCACATTGGCCGTTTATGATGAGCGTAATGTGCATTTTAAAGAAATACTTTTAAAATCATAAAAGATAAGCAATTATCATATATGAAATTAGATTACTTGGTGAAATAGAAGTAGCAAATAGATTACCTCGCCGTAGTGGTGTACTTTTGATTACCTGCCTTTAATGGTTTACCATTTGATTACCTCCCAGTCCTAAATGTGAGATAACCATCAACCCAAAACTTACTATTTACCCCTCCCCCCCCCCCCACCACCCCCACCACTTTCCAGACCAGTAACATATTAAGTCAATCGTGCCGGATGCCAGAAAATAAACCGTTCGTGAACCACATACATCACATGTGTACGTTTATTCTACACCGAGACGTACATGAAAATAACTGTTTCAAATACCTGGCACGATTATTTTTTTTTACAATTTGGCAAACACATTTTTATTTTAATATACTTTTATAACGGTTGAAAATTCATCTTGGAAAGGAATTTGGTTTAGTTTATCATTTTAAAAAACAGTAAATGTGTCTAAAATAAAGACTGGTGCCTGTTATCAAGGTTGAGTAAGGGGTAGTTTAGCAGAGATTTTGCTAGAAATCACCTTCAGAGACCAACAGGCTATGCTGCAGCTACCCAAGGTAACACCCAGGGTCTGACTAGATTTGCGACTACCTTAATGTCCATAATATATTGGGGGTGGGGGTGGGGGGTGTCTTCCTATTGATGGCACCCGCGGGGTACACTGTGTGTGGGACCGTAAACATAGCACCTCTGTTAAAGAGTGATCCTGGTGAGTAATTTATTTCCGTACTTTTACTTACACACAGTGGCGTAGCGAGGTCGGGTGTTACCCGGTGCGGCACTTAATGGTGTCACCCCCCAGAGGCGTAGCGACCCTTCCCGGGGACAATCTTTCAAATTGTGGATTTGCACCCCCCCCCCCCCTTCAAACTTTTGATTTGCACCCCCCCCTTTCAAATTTTTCTCTATATATTTTGCTATTTTTTGCCTTGGTGTCACCCCCCTAAATGGTGTCACCCGGTGCGCTCCGCACAAACCACCCCCCTCGCTACGCCTCTGCTTACACAATAGAACAGAAATGACCAAGGCACATTTTAAATAACATAACAATAAGCCAATAGGGAAAAAAAATTTGCTTCACCACAGCAATATCCAGAAAAGCTGACTAAGATTACTGTTGTCTGACTTTAAAGCTACTATAAATATGTTTATTACATACAGAGAATGTATTTATTTTATTAAATTAATTTTCCATCGATTATACTTTTTGAAATTTTTAAAAAATTTATAGAGGATCATCCTACTTTTACAAATCAACCATCAACAACAGAATATTTACGTTTCATTTTACAAAATTTGAAAAAAAAAATTGTTTAGCCCTTGGCTGAAGAGAACACATGAGTCTATCGTGCACAGACTAAACAAAATGGCGTTTAAACAGAAGGTTTCTTGAACTTTAAAAAACAAGTTATTTAATAACAGGCCGACTCAGTTTGCATGAAGAAATGTCTGAAATATCATAAGAAAGTAGCTTCAAGACTGAATTCCCATACAGTATTTTATTTGGCTCGGTTATGTTTATATTTAAAGTAACATACACTTTCGCCATTGGCTTCGTTTATATTTCATTTTGAGTTTGATAGACGGCAGATAGCGGGCCTGGGTGATCGTTCTTTGGCAAGGAGAGACGAATTTTCTAGAAGCTTTAGGTCTGGAATTCTGTCGTGATATTGGTTTAGCTACAATACGTGAGTGAGTTTCCGGCAGCAAGTCTTCATCTACATTATCTCCGATACTCGAGGGGATCTACGCACAGACGCCGTCATGGGTTGTCAAGCTAAAAGCAAGATAATATATGTGTGTGTGTGTGTGTGTGTGTTACGGTCAAAGACGGAAGTCTATTCGGGCCTTGGCCAAGAATGACGGCCAATGCGAACATTGACCGGCCAATGCGTACTTTGGCCGAACTTCGGGCTATCATCGTAATATATATATATATATATATATATATATATATATATATATATATATATATATATATATATATATATATATATATATTCTAATCCATGCATAATATAGATGTTGGTCTAGTTAAGAGACACAGCAGACGATATTGTAAACGTTATTTTTAACCATTGTTATTTTCAGACGTTTGTTTTTAAGATCATCCACTGTCTCAAATATGTTGCCTGTATTTTTTGTCTAAGAAATACTGACAGTGATTTTTGAAATTTTAACCTGTGAGATACTCTCCGTAATATTTTAACTAAATTTGAATCTCCCCTCAGCAAAACTGACGGTATTTTAATATTTTGACCGAATTGTTTAAATCTGTAAAATGCTGACTGTGAAATTGTGTCCTTAGATATCATGTCTGCGATTTTTATCCAATGGGTTTTTGCCTTGAATTATTGAGTCTGGTTAACATTGAAAGAGTTCACATTAATGTGTATCAAAATTTTTCGTTTTTTTTTCTTCTCGGCTACTTTACATGTGCCACATACGTTTCTAGCATACTTATAATATCTAGGTAAGCAGGACGCTGCCAAACCTTTTAAGATAATAAAATAATTTTATATAAGTTAATAGGCTGGTGTGCAGATAGATATATTCGAGTTATATATATATTTTATCCCCCCCCCCCCCCAAAAAAAAATTAAATAAATAAGTTCGTCTAGAAATTTATCAGAAGTAAATTTAATTTAACATGTTCATGGAATAAATAAAATCAAAACATATGTAATGATAAAAAAAATGTTGCTTAAAATTTGTGTACACCAATCAGATACGTTTGCGTGGACCAATCAGATACGTGTGGCTAGTGTTACCATCAATAGGTTTTCAATCTAAAAATTCTAGTTTGTTCTTAATTGCTAGATATGTAAGGTAGCAGATGATTGTTATGTAGAGCAGTAGATGCTAGTAGAGCAGTAGATGATTGTTATGTAGATCAGTAGATGATTGTTATATAGAGCAGTAGATGACTGTTATGTAGGGCAGTAGATGATTGTTATGTAGAGCAGTTGATGATTGTTATGCAGATCAGTAGATGATTGCTATGTAGAAAAGAGGATGCACGTTTTCAGTTCTTATGACAATGTGTAGTGTGGATATTAGTGATACCCCCCCCCCCCATCATCATGTTAGAGTTCAACCCTATCCTTATATATTCCTCGTTTGGCTGTATAACACTATCCTTATATACTCCTAAGTGTGGCAGTTTATACTTATATTTTCCCACGTGTGGTTATTTAAAGCTATCTTTATATATTCCCACATGTGGCTGTTTAGATGAATTAATGCGGTTCTCTTCACCATGATTTAAAACTTGTTATTTTTTGGGGAAGAGGTAAAAAATAGACATCAAACATCTACTTTAATGTAGCGTCTACATTTTAATTATCATAACTTTCATATGCGGCTCTAAAAATAAATTTTTAATGAAATAAAAAAAAACGTAAAAACTAATTTGCTAAACATTAAACAAAACATGACCCGCACCTGTATTAGACAACCAGCTAAATGAGTAACCGCATTTTTCACTTTTGTTCGAGAACTTTCCCACGCCTGCTAGCACCTCCCATCAGACACGCCCAGGGCCGTTAATTAAATTAATTAATGAGAAGAAACTGAAACTAAAAAGATTTCCTCTCTCGCCCCGGTTGGTAATGAAGATAAATAGGTCATGGTTAACTCGTGGTTTCTCCCGCCGGCCCAACACTGCAGCAGACGTCTTCCGTTTTGGCAGACGAGAGTTCATCCGGTGTAGCTGCAACAGGTATCACTTCCGGGGAACACTTTCGGTACAGGGTGACGCAGTTCGCTGGTTTTTTTTTTTTTTTTTGTTTTTTTTTTAACTTATATAAGTAGGTGTAATTTTTCTTTAACATTTTTTTCTTTTTAATTTTTTTTTACTTATGTAAGGAGCCTAGGTGTAATTTTTAATATATATTTTTTTTAAAAAAGCTAGCAGTTGAAAGTTTAAACGAAGTTAAAGGTTAACTTTGTGAGGAATGTTTCTGAAGTTTGAATTGCTACTTGAAAAATTTTAAGTTAAAAAATTGCCGACGGGAAATCAGACAGACGTTTTTTGGTATTTTATTATTTATTTTTGCAAGAAGCAGAAAACTGAGAAAAACTCGTTTGGTAAGGAATAAGTTCTAGCACATACGAGGAAATGTATGCACGAATGAACAACACGCATAGAAGAACCTAAAATGTTTCTGACGTAATAGCACAAACACAGTACGTCAAGCACATTTTCTAATTAATGTAATTAAGTTAATGACACACATACACAACACATATCTAGAAATACGTGTGTAATAAACAGCCAATGACACAAACACAACACATACATAGCACATGCGTGTGTAATGAACAGTTAATTACACACATACACACACAATACATACCTAGCACATGCGTGTATAATGAACAATTAATTACACACATACAACAACACATATCTAGTACCACGTGTGTAATAAACAGTCAAGGACACACATACACACACAACACATACCTAGCATATACGTGTGTAATGAACAGTTAATGACACACATACACACACAACACATACCTAGCACATACGTGTGTAATGAACAGTTAATGACACACATACAACAACACATTCAAGCTACTCACCTAATGTTCCACAAGGATCGTTTTTGTACGTGCAAATATCGTATCTGTGGACGAAAGACATTCTTCTCGTTATAAAACAAAACTTTACTTTGTAAGTCACATAAAACAATTCATTTCTGAAAACGGATTATTTGAATATTTTTATCCTAACAACAGCTGTCAACAAGGGTAAGTCAGAGACATGTGAACCAACATAGGTATATAGTTAATCTAGTATCTACAGTTGTTCAGTTGTTTTTTTTTTTTAAGTCAGTAGTGTGAGACAAATACAATTAGATTGCGCTAAAATGTTAAGTGATCTACAGTTGTTCAGACGATAAATACTTTATTTTTTTTTTTTAATTTTATTTTTTTATAAAATATTTCCTATAAATTCAGAAACTATAATAGCTATCCAAAACTAATTATTACAAGGGTCCCATTGTTAATGTACCCTCAATTGACCACATAAAAGAAAGCTGACCTGATTGTAAATAACCGTATCATTTGTATATTTGTTAACTTACCTGGTAATCAAGACAGCATTGTCGTGATTGAATGAATAATCCGAGCTGTTCTCGCCTGCTGTAAAATTGTACTGCCACTTACAAAAGTTGTCTAAGGACATATCCGCGTGATGGTTAATTACAGGCAGGTTGTCGCCCTTGGATAAAATTAAAATGAAATCTCTGCTATATCACATTGCAATCACTTTGTTCTCATGATAATTTTTTATTTATTTATTTTTTTAATAAACAAGCATAACAATCTATAAAAAATAAGCTTTTAAATGCTATATGAATAAGACAGAAAAAAATAACAGAACAGAAAAACAAATCGCATTCTGGTCTTCTTTTTTGTAGAAATTAATTAATTAATTATTTTTTACTATTGTAGCTAAAGAAAAACTATGTTATTTTTTTTTTTTTTTTTGATGCATTAAAAATATTTATTTTTACACTTGTTTAATTGATTACTTTCTACTGTTTATATATGTTAAAAATATTTAGTCTATATTTTGTAAACAATGAATCTGAGATTATTGTTTCTTTTCCGACTGCCCGAGTAATGCCTGTCACTTAAAGCAAGTTATAATCTCACTTTGTTACTGAACATAGTAATCTTTAAATAAATCTTTACAAACAATTTAAGATATATAATTTAATTGAAATAATTGTTTGAAAAGTGATAGAAATATGTTCGATAGAAATAGTCAAAATGTAGTTAAAACGATACACCGATATATATATGTATATATATATATATATATGTATATATATATATATATATATGTATATATATATATATATATATATATATATATATATATATATATATATATATATATATATATATATATATATATATATATATATATATATATATATACCAACAGCAACAGCTACACGTACACACACACACGCTCACGCACATATATACAGACATATACAGTCATATACACGCATATATAGACATATACAGACATATACTCACATATAAACACATATTAATATATTACATTTATTTATTTTTATTTACACGTTTACACATATGTGTATATGTATGTCCTTAAATAAAAGGTTCTTATGTTGAAATATACAACAACCACCCACCGGTTGAAAAAAAACCAAACGAAATTTCCGCTCCTATTGTTGGCTAAAACGAGCGGAAGTGACGTCATAATTGGTTAACTGCCCGAGGCGGGCACGCTGTTCACATCTGCGCGAGGTTAGCTTTTTATTCACGAACTACAACTTTTTCCTTTGGTGATGTTTTGTTGGTGGGCATTGGTTGATGAATGGGATAACACGATTGCGATCGCGTAGAGATGTTGTTAAAGATTTTTAGGTTGAAATTTTTAAAAGTCTAGTCTTGGAATGCATGTCTTTTAATGGGAATGACAAAGTGGACAATATTGGAATGAATGTTTTTGAATACAAACATTTAAACTTTTATGTTGCTCATGTATTGTTCGTCTTAGTGTGAATGTAGATGTTTATGATGTTGTTGATTTTACTGTTGACATTTTTGTAAGTATAGAGTATTAGTCTACACGTTTTACCGTGAATGACAAACAGGACAGGATTTGAATAAAAAAAAAATTCTTGAATACGTTCATTAAAACGTACATGCTCAATAAGGATATAGTTTGACTTCTTTTATATATAGTTCCGGCATACCCGTAATTCCGGCGTACCGGTAGCCGGTAGTTCCGGCATACCGGTAATTCCGGCATAACGGTAATGTTCGAGATATTAACATACTTTATCAATCATACTTAGACTGTTATAGACCATACCTTTCATCGCATACAGCGTGAAACCAATCTCATCTTTTCTCACCTGTAATTACCTGCATTTTAACTCTTTTCTCGCCATTTATTACCTGTATTTTAACACCTTCCACACCTTAGATCGCCTGTCTTTCAACACTTCCCACCTTATATCACCTGTATTTTAACACCTTTCTCGGTTAAGATCACATTTATTTTAACATATAACTCCCTTTTATTTTACTAATATATTAACATTTTCACCTGTAATTACCTGAGCTTCTTCCAGGCAACTCTCTCCAGCTCCCCAACCCCCCCCCCCCCGCGAAGTAAGTCTACCGTGCACCTCCCCCCCCCTTCCCCAAACGAAATGGAATTCGTATAGAAAATATATACTTTTAACATTGTCTGTATTTTAACACACCCAACTTACCTATTACCACCTGTATTTTAACACCTCTATCACCTGTATTTTAACTTCTCACCTTAGATCACCTGTATTTAGACACCCAACTTACCTATTATCACCTGTATTTCAACCCCCGACTTTCCTATTATTCCCTGTATTATAACTTCTCACATTAAATCATCTGTATTTCAACACCCAATTTACCTATTATCTACTTTATTTTAACACCCGACTCACCTGTATTTTAACTTCTCATCTTAGATCCCCTGTATTTAGACACCCAACTATTATCACCTGTATTTCAACACCCGACTCACCTTAAATCACCTGTATTTCAACACCCGACTCACCTTAGATCACCTGTATTTCAACACCCGACTTACCTATTATCACCTGTATTTCAACACCCGACTCACCTTAAATCACCTGTATTTCAACACCCAAACTCACCTTAGATCACCTGTATTTCAACACCCGACTTACCTATTATCACCTGTATTTCAACACCCGACTCACCTTAAATCACCTGTATTTCAACACCCGACTCACCTTAAATCACCTGTATTTCAACACCCGACTCACCTTAAATCACCTGTATTTCAACCCCGACTCACCTTAAATCACCTGTATTTCAACCACGACTCACCTTAAATCATCTGTATTTCAACACCCGACTCACCTTAAATCACCTGTATTTCAACCCCCGACTCACCTTAAATCACCTGTATTTCAAACCCCGACTCACCTTAAATCACCTGTATTTCAACACCCGACTCACCTTAAATCACCTGTATTTCAAGACCCGACTCACCTTAAATCACCTGTATTTTAACACCCGACTCACCTTAAATCACCTGTATTTCAACACCCGACTAACCTTAAATCACCACTCTTTCAACACCCTTCTCACCTTAAATCACCTGTATTTCAACACCCGACTCACCTTAAATCACCTGTATTTCAACCCCCGACTCACCTTAAATCACCTGTATTTCAACCCCGACTCACCTTAAATCACCTGTATTTCAACACCCGACTCACCTTAAATTACCTGTATTTTAACCCCCGACTCACCTTAAATCACCTGTATTTCAACACCCGACTCACCTTAAATTATTTCAAACCCCGACTCACCTTAAATCACCTGTATTTCAACACCCGACTCACCTTAAATCACCTGTATTTCAACCCCGACTCACCTTAAATCACCTGTATTTCAACACCCGACTCACCTTAAATCACCTGTATTTCAACACCCGACTCACCTTAAATCAGCTGTATTTTAACACCCGACTCACCTTAAATCACCTGTATTTCAACCCCCGACTCACCTTAAATCACCTGTATTTCAAACCCCGACTCACCTTAAATCACCTGTATTTCAACACCCGACTCACCTTAAATCACCTGTATTTCAACACCCGACTCACCTTAAATCACCTGTATTTCAACACCCGACTCACCTTAAATCACCTGTATTTCAACCCCCGACTCACCTTAAATCACCTGTATTTCAACCCCCGACTCACCTTAAATCACTTGTATTTCAACACCCGACTCCCCTGTTATCACCTGTATTTCAACACCCGACTCACCTAAATCACCTGTATTTCAACCCCCGACTCACCTTAAATCACCTGTATTTCAACACCCGACTCACCTTAAATCACCTGTATTTCAACACCCGACTCACCTTAAATCACCTGTATTTCAACACCCGACTCACCTTAAATCACCTGTATTTCAACCCCGACTCACCTCAAATCACCTGTATTTCAACACCCGACTCACCTTAAATCACCTGTATTTCAACACCCGACTTACCTTAAATCACCTGTATTTCACCACCCGACTCACCTTAAATCACCTGTATTTCAACCCCCGACTTACCTTAAATCACCTGTATTTCAACACCCGACTCACCTTAAATCACCTGTATTTCAACACCCGACTCACCTTAAATCACCTGTATTTCAACTCCCGACTCACCTTAAACCACCTGTATTTCAACCCCCGACTCACCTTAAATCACCTGTATTTCAACACCCGACTCACCTTAAATCACCTGTATTTCAACCCCCGACTCACCTTAAATCACCTGTATTTCAACACCCGACTCACCTTAAATCACCTGTATTTCAACCCCCGACTCACCTGCTCAGATTCCAGAAAGAATATCCGTGTGACGACGATGTTTAGAGCGTTGCCAATGGTCGGGTTGTGGAACAGCTTGGCCACCTGACCTCAAGCGAGAAAACAGACAATACTATAGCGTCGGTACGGTATGTTTCGTCGTCAGATAGCGTCGGTACGGTATGTTTCTTCGTCAGATAGCGTCGGTACGGTATGTATCATTGTCAAATTTCGTCTTCAGATAGCTTCGGTAAGGTAAACATCTACTTTAGATAGTGTTGGTAGGGTATGTATCGTCATCAAATAGCGAAGGTACGGTTTATATTATCGTCAGATAATGTAGGTACCGTGTTGTTAGGTAACCTTGGTAAGATATGCATCATTGTCAGAAAGCGTCGTTATGATATTTATCGTGGTCAAATAACGCCGATGCGATATCTATTATGGTCAGATAGTGTTGATAAGATATTTATGACGGTCGGAGAAACGTCTAAACAGTGACGTCATGTAGACGTAATGGTCAGATAAATGTCTAGACACTGACGTCACTTATTCACGATGGTCAAATAAACGTCTGATGACGTGACACTTACGATATTCAGGATGGTCAGATAAACTTCTAGACAGTGACGTCACGATGGCCAGATAAACTTCTAGACAGTGACGTCACTAATTCATGATGGTCAAATAAACGTCTTATGACGTGACACTTACGATATTCATGATGGTCAACACGTAGGCGGTCAGGGCCGCCCGGCTGCCTTCAAACGTAGAACTCAGGTGATAGTCCAGCATCTTCTTGTCCACTACCACCAAGGTTTCGACGTGTTTCTCTATGCTGGCAGAGCGCCGAGCGCGCTTCTTCGCTTTGTCGCTATTTGCGCTAAAGAAAAAAAAACAGTACAAATAAGTTATCGTCAGATTAGGCCTAAAATGTCAAAGCAACACAATAAATATAAGCTAGGGATCGCGTGGTCGGTTGGTTGAGCTTACGACTTCTAACCCAAACGTTTCGAGTTCGGATCCTGGGTTCGAGTCTGTAAGACGTCCCTGAGTTCACCTAGCTCTGTTAGAAATAATTCTCACTACACAATGACCTTTGTATGTCAAGGTCATTGAGACAAATTAACTCTACCTGATCTGCCCTATGAGTCTTGAGCACGAATGGGAAAAGATGAAAATGTGAGATATAAGCAAACAACTTTATCCTATTGCATTACAAACGTTTCACCTGTTAATTTTATAGTATTACCAAAGTGTTATTTTTTTAAACAGAGTCTAATATAAAATAATTGTAATTGGTACCTGTGATTGGTCGGCTGCTTTTGCGTCTGCTTCAGTTTAGGGCGCCATTTCCAGAATGGAGACTGGTGTTTGGGTTTCAGAACATCGTTTTGGTTTCCCGGTCTTTTCCGGTACCATTTGGTGTATTTCTTCCTTCTGTGGTCTGAGACACGTAGGTTAGGGTACACGATAAATTACACTATGTGATGTGATACACAAGTGTACATGATAAATTACACTATGTGATGTGATACACAAGTGTACATGATAAATTACACTATGTGATGTGATACACAAGTGTACATGATAAATTACAATATGTGATGTGATACACAAGTGTACATGATAAATTACACTATGTGATGTGATACACAAGTGTACATGATAAATTACACTATGTGATGTGATACACAAGTGTACATGATAAATTACAATATGTGATGTGATACACAAGTGTACATGATAAATTACACTATGTGATGTGATACACAAGTGTACATGATAAATTACACTATGTGATGTGATACACAAGTGTACATGATAAATTACACTATGTGATGTGATACACAAGTGTACATGATAAATTACACTATGTGATGTGATACACAAGTGTACATGATAAATTACACTATGTGATGTGATACACAAGTGTACATGATAAATTACACTATGTGGTCTGAGACAAGTTGATAATAAATAAACAAAATGGAATAGAACGGATGGAGACGAGTACCCAATGTGGCGCAATCTTAGGATCAAACAGTTTGTAGCTGTTACTGTAAACCTGGTACGGCAGATGTACACATTAAACTGGCTGGTACAAAATTTATCAGAATACCCCTTACCTCCAACACCCTTGTCCCCCCCCCCCCCCTCAAAGCCTGATGAATTCAAGAAAGATTTTTTTATTTGATATCATTCTTGTTTAACCGTAGCCCCCACAGAACATGCAGAAGCCAAAATAACTCAAACTGTAACCCCTCCCCCCCCCCCCCCGCTCGACCACTAAGACGTCACTACCAACCCCCCCCCCCCCCCCCGTGACGTCGTCCAGGCTTACCCGTGTCCTCACAAAACCTAACTCTAACCCCCACGCATCCCCAATGACGACACTAACCCCCAAATGACATTATCAACCCTATGACGTCATCAACCCCAATGACATCACCAACCCCCAAATACGTCATCAACCCCTATGACATCATCGACTCTAATGACGTCACCAACCCCAGCTTACCTGTGACCCCACAGAACTTGCTGAGGTCGCCCAGTTTTAACGAGGACCGGCTGTAGACGACGTGGGGGTGGCCCTCGACCCCCACCACGTTGGTGTGGTTCCAGAGGGGTTCCACGAAGTAGTCATCCGTGTCGGTGGAGAAGACGCCGTGCTGCAAGAGAGGTGGAGGGAAGGGGGGGGGGAGAAGGCAAATCATGCTTGAGTGGATCAGGTTAAAAGTAACACAAGATGAAAGTAACAAGGGTTGAAAGTAAAAACACAAAGTAACAAAGAGTAAAAGTGAATCAGCACAATGCAGAGCCGGCGCTACCCATTAGGAGAACTAGGGGGGGGGGCGCAAAATGTGCAATCGCTATTATCAAAAAGTACTTAATAATTAATAACTTTTATAAAGGAGTAGCTATCTATTTCGGCACCCAGGACGAACTATCAATTTTGCACCCCCACCCCAAAATTAGGTCTAGATCTATATAGGCCTACATTTATTCGCGTTGGTGAAAATGCAATTCCACCTCACTAATTTGGAAAGGTCGGGGCGCTTTTTACCAGTCACATTGCCTTTTTAATTTGGTGTCATACAAGTGATGTAGAAAACGATTAAACAAGTTCGTAGTTTACATTTCGAACATTTCAAACGGTTATCTAATTTCAATAGGGCTTGTAAGTCTTGTTTTCTCTGACTTTGAATTAGAAATCTGTCCTGGTGTATAAAGTTTTGTATTGACGGGGTGTTCAATGTATTGTACTTGTTTGTTAAATTTTGATGAATCTTTTAGATTTTGGAGTAACGACGGAATGCTGTTGCTGATATAGTTTCGTAGGTATAAAGTATCGAAGTGTTAAAGTGTCATAATTTTTACAAACTTTTATTTAACTCACTTCCTCTGTCGTCAGTCGTCTTCAGTCTGTCTGTCTAGATCGAAACGCCCATGTGAAATTGCAGGCACTTCTAACTGACAGAGACGGCTCGTAGTTGGTACGTTGGTCAAGACATGAAGACAATGCATCGTAACATTTAATTTGACTTAATTGGTCGCTTAATTACTTTTTATGAATTATTCGGCTGTTTTGTAGTTGAAGATCTAGTGGTCTCTGATTGGTAATAGAGAAATGAGAATGCAGGTGATGAAGTATCGTAGCTCTGGAGTTCGGGATGATTGATTCTTGTGGTATTAAGGTATCGAATTATATTGACTGTTAAAGTGTAGTAGTAGGTCCAGTGAAATCGTTGTTGATTTGGAGTGTCATTTGTAGAGCTTGGTTAAGTTAAGCGAATTGGTGTCATAGTTCTGGAGCATCGAGTCTAGTTATGTTTAGGTATCGAAGTTTGATATAATGTGTTGTGAATGTAGTAGAGTATATCGAGTAGTCGAGTTTATCGTAAGTTAGATGATTTCAATTCCGTACGGAACACATGAGAAAGGTAGGCGTTCTCTTGTAGAAAAATCTTTAGTTTTTTTAGGAATCTATATTACCACTCTTAAAGTATTAATATATAATATTAAATAGGATAGAATCTATATATATAATTCTCTTCTTGGAGACGCTAGAAAACAAGCCGTAAGCGCGCTCCCTACCACCCCCACCCCTACGTGGCCTGGTGAGCTTTAGTTTACGTTAAATGTTTACAATCATAGAGCCGGATTTGGTGACGGCTACTAGGGGCAGATGATTTAGTTTGAAACGATTCTAAACTTAAGGGAGGTAACTAAGAGGATGCTGCTTTCACGGGAGGGGGTGTAGGGTAGGGGTTGGGGGAAAGGAGGGTGGGTGGGGTAGTATTGTTCTTAACGACCTACTGATAAAGTTTTAAAACAAATATTTTCAGTGGCAGCATTGGTACTGTCGAATTCACAAATTATGAATTACCGAAAAGTAGAAAATAAAACAACTAAATAGCGGCGTATGATACGCCGCGGGTCAGCTCGTTTATAACTAACTGTTAACTTTGTTTTTTCAAATATTTTTTTTTATTCAATCAATAATTCTAGCAATGTCTAAAACAGTTACCCGTGTTTGATCTTTCGAAAGATGTCCCTGTTTTTTTTTTTTTTTTTTTTTTTTTTGTCCCTTTCGTTTATTTTTTTTTTTTATTTTTTTTTTTTATTTTTATTTTTCTTTTCTTTTTTATTTTTTTTTTTGTCGCCTCAGACATGTAATTTATAGCGTCAGTTGTGTGTTCGCTTTAGTATTACAGTTTTCATCACCGGCTTGTGAGGACTGATACAGATTTACAATAGTAACATTTCTTTCCCACTTGTAGCCTACTTTCATTCATTAAGATGGTTTACTTGTACATAGATCTAATACAAAACGTCTAAATTTAAAGAAATACTAAAAATTAAAAAAAACCTTTTTTAATTTATTAGTTTTTCTTGTCCCTTTTGTTTATGGGATCCAAAATTTTAGATTAGTCATGATGGTATTACCATAAATGTAAGGTAATGTCATCAATATTGTATAGAAGTATGTTATAATAAAGTTACAGGTTTTTTAGGTTTTTTAGAATTTTAAACAAAACCTACAGTTAAGTATTTAATAAGTAAAATATATTGTTTTTACAAGGTTACATAGCTAATATAAAAGATTTGTTATAATTATTACGTAAAGAAATTTAAAGCTTTTAATTGTGTTTTTCAAGCATTTCTTAGTTACACTTGGTTAATTTAGCCATTCTTGTGAAAGTTCTTTCCCTTGAATAAAATTTTGGTATTTGGATTTTCAAATGGGACATAATTCGTTGCTTAACTACATTCATTTCAAATTCCTGCACCTTAGGTTGACCGCTTACGTATAAATACACCTTTAAGTTATTATTTGCTATTGTAACAATTATATAGCGCAGAAGTTCTAAACAAAATAGTTTGGTATGTTTTTTTAGCATATCAAGCTGAAAAACAACTCCAAAATCAAACAACTGCTGCCTCGTAGTTTGTTCTTGGTTGGACCTGGCAGATAAGGCCCGATCCCTTCCAACACTAAAAATTAAGAACGAAGAAGAAAGAAGAAGAAGAAACACCTAATTAATTGTCTTTTCATATTTTTCACCCTCCCCTAAAGGATTCATACATAACAATTTTAGGCTGGAATTTATAACATTTATAACCTTTTATTTTTCAAAAACTAAATAATCGTTACATAATCACACAATATAGACATTTTACAATTATAACCAAAGACAGCCAAGCTTAAAACAGGTAAGTTCCGTTTTGGAACTCGCCTTGTGAGGACTGCAGAGAGCACAACACTACAAGAACTTTTTTTTCATTGGTTTTTTCCAGACTTTTCCACCCCGGAAGGTAGGGGAGAGCACTAAAAATTTTCTAAGGGGAGGGGGGGGGGGCGGGGGGCTATGTCGTAAAGTACAAAGTAGACTCGTGGACTTAGCAACACTTTCAATAAAATGTGATTACGCTTGTAACCTGGAATTGAAGAAATTAGTACAAACTTTTGCGATGAAGGAGGCAAGTAAAATGTTATTTTGATGTCTACTTATAACGCTTATGCAATTGATGATAAATTAATATGTCACTTTTAATTAATTGTTTTCTTATACGTATGTTTTAGTAATTAATTTTTGTGAAAGGAGGCGTTTTTATAGGTTTTGCCTAGGGCGCTAAATAACCTGGCGCCGGCACTGGCACCATGTGAAAATAGGTAACACAACCGAATTCAAGGAAAATAATACACATAAACAGTTGATTTGGAGAACCAAAGCTAGTGTATGCCTATATAGAGAAATATATGTGAGATCCTAATTTAACCTTCGACACAGACTAAAACAATACCTGAGATTTTTCAGGGCATGTACCATTTCAAAAGAGTCAACTGAGAGATTTTCAAATCCATTCTGGTTAATTTGTTGATTTTTTTTCCCCTAAAGTTAACCATGTACATGATCTAGAGGCGTATGTGTAATTCTTTATTTTAGACATCTTTGCATTACAGTTTGTTTGTTGTTTTTTTTTTGTTTTTTTTTTTGTTTTTTCGTGGATAAACCGATACTTCATTGTCCTGATTGAAACTGTCGTACAACACCACATCCATGACTTCCGGGGAAAACCTTTTATTTGCGATGGGAATACTAGGTCGGGAGCTGTCAATTCAAGCTAAATTATTTGGAAACTTTGCTGTTTCTATAAATAGACGTCTGGAAATTTCCGATATTCAGATGAGGGGATGGGAAATTCACTGCGTGTCCTAGTCAAGAACGTGCCTTTGTCTTGATTGGTCTGTTTTCTCAGGGGGGCGGCGGCTACATCGCCACTTCCGGGCGGGAACGGCCGCAGATAAAAAGAATGTGAAGGTCACTCGCAATTTATGTCACGTGATACTGTAGCCATCAAACAGCTATGTGGTTGTTGGTAGCGACATTGTGTAGTGCTACAGGTAGCAGGAATTTAAAAAGGCTGCTCAATTATTTTTAAAAAAAATAGAGGTGTTATATATTTACATTATATGTAATCTACTCATTCTCGTTTTCACTTCGATACCCATTTCACCTCCCATCCTTATCTTCAGTGTTTCTTCCGGGGGGGGGGGGGGCACACACTGGTAAAAGTAAATGTTATATATATATATATATATATATATATATATATATATATATATATATATATTTCTCCCCACCCCCCACCCCTCCAATTTTTCACCCAATCCCCCCCCCCCCCCACCCCCAACAAAGAACAAACACAACATTCTCATCCATAGAACAATCATAAATCCTTTTTATTTTATCTCTTTGGCAAACGTCTTAGACATAACTTCAGGTTAGCATTGTTTATTTACATCAATCTCAACATCATGCTCGTATGTTAGCAATGTTTTATATTACCGTTTTACAAATAATACTGTTATTTTTTTCTCTTTTCTTTTTATGCTTCTTAAACTTCTGTTGTTTTATTTTACTTATTCTTTTTGTTAAATAAGTAGAATCCATCGGCTATTTTCCGTTCACTCTCTGTATAAGCATTACTTCTATGTCAGCAATGTTTTATATTACCGTTTTACAAATAATACCGTTATTTTTTTCTCTTTTCTTTTTATACTTTTTAAACTTCTGTTGTGTTATTTTACTTATTCTTTTTGTTAAATAAATAGAATCCATCGGCTATTTTCCGTTCACTCTCTGTATAAGCATTACTTCTATGT